CATACGATCTAGAATTATTCCTTGATAAATCCGTCAAAATTTTACAATATGCTGATGATCTTTTATTATATTTTATTGCGAAGTCCATAGAATCTGCTTCTGCCAAATTATCTGATTCATTAGATTTGTTAAAAACGTGGTTAGATGCAAATGGTCTTAATCTTTCTGTAACCAAGAGTAGTGTAGTTTTGTTTTCAAGAATGAGATCACCGCAACAAATTAAGGTGCTTTATGATAACTCATACATTCCTATAAAGACTGAAATTAAATTTTTAGGTATCGTGCTAGATAATAAATTAACAGGTCTGTCCCACTGTAATTATATTTCTACGAAATGTGAGCGTAACCTCAACATTCTTAGGTGCCTTGCTGGAGTTTGGTGGGGAGCACATCCCGTTTCACTAAAACTTGCTTATAATGGTCTTATAAGGAGTGTCATTGATTATGGAACTTTTTTGTTAGCTCCAGGAAGTTCATTTGCTTTTAAGAAATTGGATTTAATTCAATCAAAGGCCTTGAGGATTATCTCTGGAGCAATGAAATCAAGTCCAATCAATGCTTTACAGCTCGAAGTCGGTGATCCACCTTTGGTTTTAAGAAGACAATATCTATCTGATCGCTTCTTTTTTCGTTGTTTACAATTATCTGATCATCCGCTTATTCAAAAGTTATCTCAACTACATATCTTTATTTCGTCTTCATCTTATTGGAAACATAAAAAACCTCCATGTTTAATACAAAGTTATGAAAAATATAAATCCATAGAATCTCCCACTTTTACATCGTCCTGTTTTCCCATTTATAAATGCTCATATCAATCTTTAGTTTTATCTCCTAATATTAAATATGATTTTGGGTTATTAAAAAATGATTCAGAATTGAATGCCAAATTTATGTTTATAACTGACATTGAATGGAATGAATGGCACTACATCTTTACTGATGCATCAAAACCAGACAATAGCGGTTGTGTAGGTGTGGGTGTGTTTCATTCACAATTTAATATCGTTCAAAAAATTAAACTTCCACCGGAGTCTTCAGTTTTTACCGGGGAATGTTATGGTATTTTAAAAGCTGTAGAATATATACTTTTAATGAAATTACATAAGGCAATAGTTTTCACTGACTCTATGAGCTCTTTGCAAGCTCTAGCCAAATATCCGTTTAAATCAAAACCAGTTTATCCCATTATTTGTGACATAAGACAAAGTCTTTATCTTTGCATGTTGAGAGGTTATTCCGTTTCTTTTGCCTGGTTACCAGGACACAGTGGTATTAGCGGCAATGACAAAGCTGACCTTATTGCAAGAGAGGCTGTAACTTGTGGTGATATGTATCCGTATCATAATTACTGTAGTGACCTAGCTTGTCTCCCAAAAATATATTTAAGGTATGCCTGGAAGGAATATTGGGAAAAAACAAGTACAATAAAAGGAAGATTTTATCGCCTTATACAACCCGATATTCCTTTCAAACCATGGTTTTGTAAATTAAAGCTTGGAAAGACCGCAACAACTATTATAACTCGTATGCGTCTAGGTCACGTATGCACACCTTCTCATTTATACAAGCTTGGTATTGTACAAAGTTCGTCGTGTAATTGCGGTGCTGAAGTGGCGGACTTGAATCATATATTCTTCTCATGTTCTAAATTTGACCACACCTCCCTTTTTAATCATCTCCGATCCATCCGTGTTCCATTCCCAACTTCTATTCTTACTCTACTTTCTTCCAATGATCCTATTATCTATAAAATACTATCTTCATATATATATGATAACAATATTAAGATTTAGTTATATTACATGAATACATTTATAGTTGCATCAATTGCTTTTCCTATATATTTATAAGTATATTCTCATATGTACAAGTATATGTTTCATATCCTATAAATATCCTAGACCTAATCCTTATCCTTTCTAAATTCGTTTGTGTTAGGTATTTTTATTACTATTATCGTTTCCCCGTTTTGTTCTTGGCAAAATACCCTAATATCGGGGTGAACGCCACAAAAAAAAAAAAAAAAAAAAAAAAAAAAAAAAAAAAAAAAAAAAAAAAAAAAAAAAAAAAAAAAAAAAAAAAAAAAAATTGAATTTTGATTATCTATCACAACTGTCAACGTAACAAATACTAGCCAGTTTGTTTATTTGTATTTGTTTAATATAATTAAATATAAAATCATCATATATCAACCGTAATATACAACTAAATTATCAGTGACATAAATAATCATGGTTTACACCAGAAATAATTAATAGTATCCAGTAATGCTGCAGTTTTATATTCATATCAGTAGCCAAGCTTACTTTCAAATTCAAGAATGAACAGAAGATTAGAAGTTTAACATTCTTATTGCAATTGTACTTGCAATAATATATACATACAGTACTAATTATCAAGAACATTCCTCAAATATATGTGTGGTGAAGATTTCCCAATATGCTATCTATTTGATTCCTAACCTCTAATGTAAATTTATTAAAGAAGTGAATAATTAGTGTCAGTGTTTGCTTTATTAATATTTAAAGCAATTGTCCTAACTTGATATTAATAGGATCATATCTCTTTGGATACAGTCCGACATAAACATATAACTCAATAATTAAATTTATAAAATACTAATATTATATTTTACTACTTGTATATATCCATACTATTCCCATAAAATATTCAAAACATGTATATTAAATATAAATCCAGTAAATATTCACTAATATTAACCCTGTCTGAACTTGTCTAGTCAATATAACATGAACAAACAACACACATACAAACCTTATCGCCAGGACAACTTCCTTTCTAAATATGAGTAAAATACACAACTCATACTTGTCATTTAGTACTAATTTTATACTGTACCTCATACCTAGTTAAGAATAACTATAGTCAGAGAATCTTTTAGTACTTTTATTACCATGAGGAAATAAATCCACACCTATAATATCAGCATAATTAAATATTATTAGTTATCAGTAATACACACAGAATTGTTATTATCAGCTTGCTTACTACAACAAAATCAATATTAAAGTTTATAATAAATCAAGACAAAATATCTATTTAACCAATACAGGCTTGTTTACCATAAACACCCCACAGTCACATGAATTTATCTAGTAACACAATTAATAATGTATTAAAAGTATTACATTCACATAATATCACTTGCAACAGTTAAGCTGTCTCTTTGTACATCTGGTGTAAAACAAATCCCCACATGTAGTCATGGATAATCAAATATAGACTAAGAATCATTAATCTGGTCGACCGAGTAATGGTATAAAAACACTTCACCATGAAGCGTTAAGTATGAACAGATATTCCAAACCAACACTGTAATAGTGTAATAAATACAAATATTTCATCATCATCATCGTCTCAACCATCACCAACCCACGACTGAACACAGGCAATTTCCACCGACTGACACAAGGAACGGCCCCACAATACACATAAAACAGTCACTCCAAACAATGGAGGTAGCCCACACCGCATTTGCATTTACAGAGTCGTCACTCAATAACCCCTCTCTCTCATCAATGGTTGTTTCCCCAGCAATGAGACTAGACCATAGTCACTTTAGTCTATTATCCTCAATAAATAAATACTTTATAATAACTAGATATGAAACTAGTTAATATTATAATAGGTTAATAGCTGATTTAATAAATATTTTCCAAAACTGAACAATTAGAACATTGAATCAAATTGATGAAGTTCTATCAAACGACCATATAATTGGATTTTTTATATGAGTAGAATAACGTAAGTACGTAAATTATATTGATGTAAACTTTGTTCAAATGTGATTGCATTTAACGATATACGCATTACCTAAAGGTATATGGACTCGACTAAATACGTATTTTAATAGTTGTTGGGAAAAATATTAAGTATAGACTTTGCCTGTGATCACAGTCAAAAATCTAACTACGTAGTAATAAATGGAACAAGCTCACCGGATTCTCCAGTCTTCTATTGATTAATTTCACACACTTAATCGATAGTGATACACTAAGATCTCAAACCCCTTCATCGATCCAGTCCCTCCTAGATCTATATCCCAGTTATTTTTTTATTTTATTGCGCAATCCCTAAAACACGACTCCCCGCCATTTGCCGTCCATTTCTTTTTCTTTTTTCTTTTTTCTGCGCAATTCCTAAAAAGCGACTCCCGCGCGCCCGCCGATCTGCCGGCTCCTTTTTCTTTTTTTTTCTATTCTTTCTCTAATAACGTCATAGATTATGTCACCGAAGGGTAGATATTTCAATAATCAGATTTAGCCTATTATTCGAACTGAACTTTTCTTTAAATTCAATTTAATTATATGTTAACGTATTTTGGTATTTTATATTAAATTGATTATCGAATTTATAAAACTTTAAAGGCTCTCATAAACCTTATTAAACTGTGTTGTATGTATCTTTTTTACACCTGATGATAAAAAGGTAAACTATAATTTGGTTATATATAAAATATAATATATTTTTGTTTAATTTATTTAATTTTCTTGTGACATCCACTACACTTTGGAAACACATCAAAGGAGTTTCCCTTCTGTGTCAATATTTCATATATGGTAACGTCTTCTCTGTATACTATTGTGAACCTTGACTTTAAAGTTTGTTTATATTAAATAGTTCAGCTTTCGCAGCGGTCACCCATAGGAACCCCTGTTTCTTTTCTATGTACTTATGGTATTAAACCTATTGTACTATAGGCGAACCGTCACAATGCAAGAGCATAAATATAACATTTTTATCAAAAATACAACTTATAACACATCATTGTATACAATTACATTATAATAAACAGTCAAAGTGATTTCTTTTTATTCATTGTTCATATGGGAATTATTACTTCGATTGAAATAATTTAAAAAGTTTGGTGAAATGCATATTATTTCTTAGCAATAGAAATTTAAAATTAGTGTGTATTCGTATATTAGTAATAGATTAGATACGTGGTAATATGAATATTTTTTTTTTATTTCTAGAAAGACGCAACAATGTTCAGATTGTACAATTTTTATGGCATAGCCAGTGTGCTAGCTACGCTGATACCAACGTTCATCTTGCTATCGAGGCTACAAACTTTGGAGGCCTGCGTTACATTCTCCGCCATTGGTAAATTAATCATAATAGTGTAATACTAAAAATATTAACGTGAGTTATTTATTACCTGCTAAATGAACAAAATTTGTAGGCTTCACCCTCAAAGGAATAAAAATCGTGGCACCCGTGGTTCTATATATAGTCCCTTGTGATATGTCTATAGAAATGTACGCATAACTTTGTTGAAATTGTTTGAAAAACAAAATGTGACATATTGTTTTTAACCACAATTTATTAATTCACCTAGTAACATAACCTCACCATTTTCGACTTCGAAGTTTTCATCTTTTATTATGATTTAATAACTTGTTTCTAAGATTTAGTCTTTTCAACTCGTGGAATGTCGAAAATAGTTTTTTGAGATTTTAATTATTTAATTCTGGTCTACCCTAATTTAGATGTGTAAATGTTAACTGTCATTATTACTGTTCACTATATTTTTGTTAGATTTCAAGTGAAGAAATGTAATCTCCAGTAAGTTATTTCTTTCTTGTACCATTGTTTATAGTATCTTGTTAAAATAATAAATGCAAAACTTTGTAACGATGGATGGATGTTTATGATTATTTCACGCAAAAACTATTAAACTTATAGAAAATAAACCAAACTCACTTCCATATACCATATATTTTATATACCATTTTTATACCATTTTACCAGAGGGAGACTTTGTACAAAAGTCGATTGCTTGGGTACCTCTGTTCCATTCGTGTTTCAACCGTGAAGCAGTTGTGTTTGCATGGCTGTGTTTCGGTTTGAAGGGTGGGATATGGCGTGAATTTACTGGGTACAGAGGAATAACACCTGAGTCCTCAGGAATGGCAACGCATGGGGGGTATCATGAGCGAAACAGTATACTCTGTTATGTCCATGGTACTGCTCATGTCTATAGGCGACGGCTACCACTTTCCATCAGGTGGGCCGTCAGCTTGTTTGCCATTCTAAGTTGCATAAAAAAAAATATGTAAATATTTATAAATATAGTTATCAAGTCTATTTAAATAATAATATATTCTACTTGCCTAGTTAAATTTGAAGGTATCCGAGAACTTTCAAATAGATTCATGTTCAAAAAAAGAGTCTAAGAACTCATTATAACAATAGTAGCTAATCATTATTTTTTATATATTATATAATATTGCTATTTTCTTTACCTATTCCAATAATAAAGTACCGCGTTCTTGATTTTCTGTTCGTCCCAAAAGTTGACTGGTAGAGAATGCTACTAGCATTAAATCCGCCTTTTGTACCTTATTTTATTTTGGTCATAAAGTTATTTTAATAAATAAATAAATAAATCTAAATAATCTATAAAAACAAAATATTATACGGACGAATAACATACTGAATATTTGTTTTTACATATTTAGTGATGCAATGCTACGTCATCGTATTAGTGAGAAGTGAAATTCTGAAGTTGGAGAAACAAACCAAGAACGACCTTGAGTCAGCGTCACCTGACGTCGTCGATGTTCCTGACAGAGATACTTTATTATGAGTTATTTATAAATAAATATTATAAAAATATTTTATTCTTTTTATTAGAAATCAAACGGTTACCATTTTACATCAGGTCGGCTGCCAAATTGTTGTTGCATATAAAATCTCTCTCAATATTCACCAACATTTTCTATTGCTATGAATTTAATTTTTGCAATGATGATCTGTTGATGATATTTCAATTATAATAAAAAAAATATTAGATGTATATTTAATTACATAGAAATTGCAACAAATTATGAATATCTATATTGTTAACAACTTAATCCTCTGGAATGGCACGAACGCATGAGGGATTCCATGCACATCGTAATGTTTTATGTGATATCAATAGTACTGTTCGTGTATGTAATGTAGATGACCGTGTCATCCCGGCATAGACTAGGCCACCTCTTCTTTTCCCGTGGGTGTCGGTAAAAGGTGGCTAAGGGAAGGTCGAGGATGGGCAGCAGCGTCCCTCTTCAAACATCTTTAAAGTCTAACTGCGGTTGCCAATCCGCCTACCAAGCATGGCAATTACTGGCAAAATTCCCCAAGGGGGAGGCTCATGTTCAGCAGTGGATAGTTAAAGGCGGATATGAGTGGTAGTTTTCATATCTATAGCCGACGTTTACCACTTTCGTTTGGGTGAACCTAATCGCTAAACAAGCAAATGCTTGTTTGCTATTTTATGTCGCATAAAAAAAAAAACCATTACTTATACATATTAATATAATAATTATTATTATTACAGCCGTTAACCTTCCCCATAAAGGGAATTTTTCCAGTAGTTGACACGCTGGGCAGGCGAGTTGGCAACCACAGTTAAGCTTTTAGAGATGTTTTAAGAGAGACGCTGCTGTCCATCCTTTGCTCTCTTTTAGTTGCCGCTTACGACACTCACGGGAAAGGAAGGGGCAGCTCATTCTATGTCGGACATATACGGCGTCATTGTCATGACAGGACTGAAGTGATTGGCGTCTTCGTCTTACAGCCTGCGCAGTCTTTTCGGGTACTCTTATATTATCACTATTATTGTCTAGGCTTCGATAGTGTATTTAAATATAATGAACGTTGCCCATTATTGCATCGGTATAAAGTGACACAAAGAAGGTTTTTAAGTAATTCGTACAGATATCTTTGATTTCTGTAACGCTTGTGTTTCATTGCTTCAACACATGTGATGCCATTATATTATTTACTCCGATTACCTGTTACTAGTCCTTTTGTCGTGATAATTTTCGTTCCGTATGTTTCATAATTGGAGCTTATTTTGATCAATGTCCACAATACGCTACTTTGTAAAAGCAGTCTTTTGAGCAGCATGTCTTTAAATGCATCTGATCACGCCCAATTCTGGTAATGGCTCTGAATTGTTAAGATGAACGAAATATTTTCATATTTTCACGTGCGGGAACACAGGTGGATGCCCCCCAGATACGTGGTCGTGACTTACTCAGACCGGGCCATTGTTAGGGATATTCATACCAATATTATGAAATTGGTGTGCATATGACAGGCAAAAGTAGTGGTTACTTTAATGGTAACATCTCTTGTAATTGGCGAATTTAATATTGGGCTACTATATTCGATATTTGGCAATGGTATCTATATGATGTGATAAGCTATGCATAATACCATTTGACACATTTTAATGGGATGGTAACCCCGCTTGCGCTAACGGTAGGTATAAACTGGCGAGGCACCAGTGAGGGATGATAGGTGAGAATGAAAAGCCAGGCCAGTTAGCCCATTGTGATGAATTGGTCTGGAATTCAGCACAATGTTTTTTTTTATACAACTTAGAATGGAAAACAAGCTGACGGCCCACCTGATGGAAAGTGGTAACCGTCGCCTATAGACATGAGCAGTACCGTGGACATAACAGAGTATACTGTTTCGCCCATGATACCCCCCATGTGTTGCCATTCCTGAGGACTCGGATATTATTTCTCTGTACCCTGTAAATTCACGCCATCCTTCAAACCGAAACACAGCCATGCAAACACAATTGCTTCACGGTAGAAACACGAATGGGACAGAGGTACCCAAGCAATCGACTTTTGTACAAATCTCCCTCTGGTAAAATGTTTTTCTATGGGGGATCACGAGGAGGTCCAGGAGAACTTAAGGTTAGGTTATACTTGTATATTGATATGTTGTTAATTTGGCGGATACTACTCTCTTACCCGAGTAGAGAAGGTGCAGCGCATACCGATAGTGCAGGCGAGATTACTAATAATGGATATTACATACTAAAAAAATGTACTAAAGGTGTACAATTGGTTTTAATCATTATTATTTTGGAGAGAAAAATTGGAATGTAAAAAAATTTGGAATTGTAATGTAATGTAAATGAAATTGGAATGTAGAAAAATTGGAATGGAAAAAAGAAAGAAAAATTGAGGTATATGGCTCTATCTGTTGATACATCTTATTTTACTAATGATTGGTAGTTTTTACAATATCAATAATGATAATTAATATGAGTTGTCAAAACTGTATATTAAGAATTACGTGGTAGGTGAGGATTTCAAAACAGCATTTGCCTTGTTTTTTTCTATGTAAAATATAAATATATATTTATTTCACTCACAAAATAACAACATAACAAAACTTATTTATTTATAGGATTACCAACATAAGATACAACTAAACATTTTAGTACAATACACTGGAAGATTAGATCTTACTGTTCTTACATTTATAGGCAACCCGGCATGCCTTGTGTTTGATAAACATTAACTTACAGCTATATACGTTACAATTTAAAACAATCTTTGTGAGAGACTGGTGTGGGTACTAGGTTAACCCGTTTTACAGATCACCAGGCTCCCAAACTCAAGGACATCTATTTTACTTGATTTGTAAAGGTAAGAGTATACAAGTATATAAATGAAATTAGAAAAAAATTATAAGCTACGTGTATGTACTAGTATGGGTGAGAGGGTAAGTGAAAAGTGAGCGAGTGCATGTGAGTGCATGAATGCGCACGTTTGTGTGTGTGTGTGTGAATGTCTATGAATTAACTAAGCGTGCATGTAATTGTCTTATAGAAGGAGGATTATTTTTATTTATGTATAAAGCTAGTTCTTTTACCAGGGACTTCGCCCACGTGACTGTGGTATGTTCACTAATCGGAATAAAAAGTAACCTTCTCCATCCCGTAGAGTACATATATACCAAATTTCATAGTGATCGGTTAAGCCGTTAAGACGCTATAAAGTAACAAACAAACAAACCCACTTTCACATTTATAATATGAATAAGGATTTGATGATTATTTCTTGAACCTTTACTTCCTAAACTTCAACTTCTTTAGGAAACGAAACCTTAGATTGTAGTGTCAGCGCACTCTCGGATTAAAGAAGAATATATTCTATTTTCAGTATTTACTCGATTCTACATGTAGAAAGTAAAGTAAGATATATTCCTGTCTACGTATAAGTATAAAACAAAATCACTTACAGACGATGCTGTGGATTTTAGTGCGTTCTGTGTTTAGTAATATGTTGGACTAGTGACAAAATTATATATGTATAGGTAACGGAATATAAACAAAAAATGTCAACTTTTTGGGATCTACTGAGATCTGTCGTAATTAAGAATTTATCTTCGCATAAAAATATGTTAATATAATTAATGTAAATATAGCAACGTACTAATTATATAATAAAACCTTATGGTAAATTACATACTAGTACATCCAATTCAACCTAGTCTTGGTATATTCTCGTAAAAGGGTTATTACAGTAATTTGCTGTGTTTTACGATAAATATTATGTTGGTATCGACATTTAAACGCCAGTTGGTACTCGAATGAGAAAAGCCTGAAAACCGCAAACTCGATGGGCGGTTACGTCTTTGAGTATCCCGTCCCTACTGTGAAGGATGTTAGCTGACACAATTTAAGTAATTAAGCCAAACGTTATCAACTACTTAATCTTTATTAATTTTATTAATGTAAAAGTTTTTTTTTACCAGTTGTTATGAAATTAGGCATATAAATACACTTAGGTACGTATTTGGGTTACTTTTTTATCGATTAATCAATACATTCTGGGATCTATGTATCATGAAAGGAAATTCCGAATTTTCGGACTTAGTTTCGTGATTTCGTTCATACAGAAATCGGTTCAGTAAATGGAGTTTAATATGTTGTTCGTCATAAATTCTATCAAAAAAGTCCAAAGGAACGATATTTTAACATTTTAAATAATTTTAAACAATATATATTGTACAATTTTAACAATAAATTGTGTTCCGTTCGGCCCCGAAATTTCGGAAAACATTTGATGGTAGAGCCTCTGGTCTCGCGGACGAATTTACGGACACTTCGAGTATTAACTCAAGTATCCGATACATTTAATTTTTTTATGCATTAATTTTATTCAAACACCTATAATTAAGTGTTAAAATAGAGTAGGTAGTAATTATTTTAATATTTAATGTAAAATTATGTAGAATATTACTAATTCTTATATTCGTATATTCACCGACCTGGATAAAAATTTGCCTATGTCCATTGCATTTCCCATATAATACGTGTTATCATAGTGGATTGTTAAGCTTCTTACTAGTAACAATCATACAAACGTATTTTCAAATTTATAATATTTGTAAAGATAATTATGGTTTTGATGTATTTATTTCAGTACAAAATATGATAAAGTAATAACATCGTTTAAGTTGTTTAAAGTTTGTCGAATAATGCATTGAATTATTTAGTAATTCTAGATAGGCAAACCACAAATAAAAATATGTCGCAGTTAGAGAGGAGCAGTTAAAAACCAGGAAAAGTCTTCATAGAGAAAAACAATGAAAAGATTTTAAAAAATATTTAACAAATGACAAAAGCTAAAATTAATTATTATAATGATCACTTAGTTATATAATGACCACCATTACGCAGTGATATTACTACTTATAGAACAATGTTCACTTCACAGGTAAAATAGCGCTGCTGAAATTTTTAGGGTTTCGTATCAAAAAGTAAAAGGAAATGTTCAAAGTCCGTCTGTAACAGTTCCATAATATTCCATATCAATCATCAATCTCCGACTGCCATTTTGCTCACGCACGTTTTGCGACATGTATTTCACCTCTTTGTCGATGGAAAGTTGTTAAACTTCTGGTAGTAATAGTGGTGGTTAATCTTTGAATGTAAGGGTAGCAGAATTAAACAAAATTATTCTAATAAAATAACCAGTGCTATAAACTTCCGCAAGTGCTATCTTGTTTAGTAGAATAGTTATATTTCAGCAAGTACTTAATACTAAATAAATTAGTTAATAGCTAAGTGGTTTAAATATTATTGACTTAACGCTATTGCAGAAGAAAAAAATATAATGTTTCTAAAAGAGGTTTGTTGTTTCAAAATATGTTTCTAAATGTTCCTTACTAGTTGAAGTGAGATTGTTCACCATAGAAAAGAATTATTGTGTGGGAAGTATCTCTATTAGAAGAGGAAGGCTTTCGTTTGCCATTCGTGTTTCAACCGTAAAGCAGTTGTTTGCATGACTGTGTTTCGGTTTGAAGGGTGGGATATGGCGTGAATTTACTGGGTGCAGAGGAATAACATCTGAGTCCTCAGGAATGGCAACGCATGGGGGGTATCATGGGCGAAACAGTATACTCTGTTATGTCCATGGTACTGCTCATGTCTATAGGCGACGGTTACCACTTTCCATCAGGTGGGCTATCAGCTTGTTTGCCATTTTAAGTTGTATAAAAAATCAATATAATAAATGTAATAAAATATATTAATTTGTAATAAATATTAATAAAAATATATTACCAAATGTGCGGAACCTACAGTGTCTAAAGCAAACTCGCACTTGGCTGGTTTTATTTAAAAATAGTGAGCATTAAAAATGGCACCAAGGAGTCCTGTAAAGTGAAATGCTCTTATTAGCTGGGAGGGGCGTCGAGTACTGAGCCTAATGGTTGCTATTCACAGCTGAATAGAGACGTGAAATTGCCAACAATTACATACTCCCGCAATGATAACCAGCTGATGTTATAGCTTCTGCAAATTCAGTTGTAATAGGATTTCTTACTAAATAAATAAAAAAAAAAATTATTCAAGTAAACTTAACTATAAGCATTTTTTAAATAGCTATTTTTTATTAATCTACTGCCCAATTTGGAATGTAAATTCAGGTAAAAAAATAATAAGAAACTCAACTGTTTCTTCTAGAGATGCCTGTTGGTATATTTACTAACTTAGAATGGTAAACTACCGGTATGTCTCAATGAAAGTGGCAACCGTCATCTATAGATATGAACAGTGTCACTGATATCACTGAATAGCGTTGCATAATTTAATTTAATAGAAAGGAAGTATTTTAGTAATTTATATTATCTCAAATATAATGTTGTTCACAACACATAAATGTACTAACGACGTAATCTTTTATTTGCTTTGCTATCTATGTAAAACTTCAATAACTCATTTTATAAGCTGTTGATTACCTAAATAAATAAATAAATGCCTGGGGTCGCGTGATTTCTTCATACATTTCCTATACACCTATTCAAATTTAGTCACTATTAAAATAAAATATGAGACATCGTTTCTTAAAGAATAAGAGATTTTCTATGAAAAGATATGTTATTTCATTATTGTTATTAACATGTAAATAAAAATAAGTGAAAGAGTAAATATTATAATTCCTCAAAATTTCATATTCCATTCCAATATATTAAATACAAAGGCAATACATTTCGACAATTCGGAAATCTACAATACACAATCAGATAGTGCGGGAGGCGGGGTGACGTCACAACATGGCGGCAGGTAGGCAACGGAGATAGGATCCGGTCATCCTGCCCATTTCCGGTCTTCACGCGGCCGTGACGCTTCCGGGCACGCGTCGACGACGTTGCCACCAACGATTTAGAGATACTGGAATGAAAAGAAAATAAGTGATTATTTGTAAAATTACTACTAATACATGGAGGGTTGCGGTACCGTGTATATTCTCTTAGGTCCGAGTACGGTTAAATAATTTCATATGTTGTTAGCTGTATTCCGCGGCTTCGTTCATATTAATCGGTACAAGTATCCTATGTACTAACATGGTAACAGAAATGTTATATGATAAAAGTTACATACTATATACTATATGAACGATTGTTTAAAATCTTACATTAATATCTGAGATAAACAGGGAAACTTTTATCGTCATACGTAGGTATATAAAAATAATAAAATCAGGATTTGGAATGTATAAATTAACTGATAGACAATTGAAGAAATTTAAGGGATTTTTTTACCTTTTTGATATAGAACCTTAAAATATTGCTATGCAAATTTTAATAAGGCAGATTTATTCCACTAAAATAGATATTTAAATTTATATTACGTATATATTATCTTGTTACATATATGATTAAAAAGCAAGTGGTAAGTACAGTACCTTTTGATCATATTCGGACTTATCATTTTACTTAATAAACAAGTGATATAAGCAGAAAACGTTACTTTCATATCTACAGTATTTAACTATAGATTAATATTCATACTTTTTTATACAAACACAATGCCACTTCCACACCTAGTTTACAAACTCTGCGTCCCGTCACCCGTCGTCTGTAAGATGAGTTTTGTGAAATGAATTCGTTCATAGCTACAATTGGATCGGACGGTCTATACTTGGTGGTTATCTTGTGCTCACGCGATTTTGAAATAGGTTCGGGTGACCAAGCGTTTACTGTTGGCAGAACTCATGTGTGACGTTTTTAGAAGATCTACGAATTTGTATATTTTTTTATTTATGCAACTTAGAATGGCAAACAAGCTGACGGTCCGCCTAATGGAAAGTGGTAACCGTCGCCTATAGACACGAGCAGCACCATGGACATAACAGAGTATGCTGTTTCGCCCATAATACCCCCTATGCGTTACCATTCCTGAGCTCTCAGGTGTTATTTCTCTATGCTATGTAAACTGCCATATCCCACCCTTCAAATCGAAACACAGCCATGCAAACACAACTGCTGCACGGTAGGAACACGAATGGGACAGAGGTGCCCAAGCAAACGATATTTGTACAAAGTCTCCCTCTGGTAAATAATAATAAGTATATAATGATAAAATAAGTATATGCAATAAAAGTATTATTTAGGGATATAGCAAAACTCTAGATCCCCAAATAATACGTTTAGTATCTAGTAGATCTAGAAGTATTAAGTCTATAAAAATTAATAATAAATAATATGAGATAAAGTAAAAAAGTGTAACTAAAATAAATTCTAAGTTCTAAAATAATCAAATCAAAAAATTATGCACCTCCTTGTATTTGCGACAAACTGAACTGCTCGGATAAAGTAAAAAAGTGAAACTAAAATAAATTCTAAGTTCTAAAATAATCAAATCAAAAAATTATGCACCTCCTTTTATTTGCGACAAACTGAATACTTAGTGTAACTCGTTGGCATCTGTACTAGTTTCATGAAATGAATTCGTTTGTGACTGCAGTAGAAAATGCTCTTTGTTATCTTGGCTTCATTCGAGTCAGTAAGAATAAAAGTTGTAATTTTTGTTTTAATACTTCGGTTCATGACACTACAAGAGTTCATGATTTGATAAAAGTCCAGTTTTATCAAATCATGAACGTGAGAATGAGATTAAATATTATATATAGTATACAATAGAGATGCTATAGTCAGTGCTTAGACAATTTTCACTAAGATGTAGCTTATACATGGTGTCAAATCAAAATTGTTTAGCGGTATGTAAAACTAAGAATATACCCATACAGAAAAAATTTTTCGTAGAGATATTTCTTGAATTAAAAATTCAAAGACAAATAATTATAAACATTAACATAAACAGACGGTGCCGCGTTAGTGTGGAAAATTATATTTTTTTTGTCGTTTTATGACACATGTTTAATTGGAGAAAAATTTCAGTTTTACTAATAGAACTCCAACGAATTCTAATCTATATACAGATATTTTTACATCTTTAACCGATATTTAACTTGTTGTTTATACATAACAGGTCATATTAAGAACATGCCGAAGAGCACCTATACCATGACTCGTAAGTGCCACGAGTCGCCCGTTGGGCTGAGGTCTCTGCGCATAGTATTGACAGGTGCCTCGAAGAACACCTGACAGCGGTCATGCCCATATGTCGGCCCACAGCCCACATCGTAAGCACGCAATCTACGCCCAATACAACATCTATACCATTAATTATTATACTATCCATTAACTTTTGCCTACAGCTAGATATAAATGCTTTGAATTAAAAAGAGTAATGTATTCGAGACATTTAATATGTGTTGACTATAACGCTTCTCGTAAAATTTGTGCTTGTGACTCTCTGTATTGAAATAATACTTTTAGTTAAATATTAAGCAGTTGTTACGTGTAATTAAAGTCCTGTTTCGTTCGACGCCCTCTTAATAAGACTCCCCTTTGTGTAAAAAGTCGCGACATGTGCGAAGTGCTATTAAAGTTACTCTATAGTTTTAAGTGGTGTCCAAGGACGTTTTCTTTTGCAAATTATTACAAATTGTGGTAGAAATTAATCACGAACACACTAATACAATTTCTATATAATTGACTGAACATGGAAATTGGTGTGAGCCGTTTTTTTTAATAGATGTTAATGGAATGGTAACCCTTGCCTGTGCTAATGGTATACGCCGGCAGAGCACCAGTGAGGGATGATAGGTGAGAATGAAAAAGTCAGTTAGCCTATCATGATGAATACATGTGGAATTCAGAACGATGGTTTCCAAAGGGGACCATGTGGAGGCCGACCTAACAGGGTATATTGCTAGCAATGGGGCTGGTAGTCTGCATTCCTAACAAACCCTTCTCCCTGTTTGAGCCCGTTTATGCGTCAAGAGGTAACAAAGAAACAAATTAACAATCTTACATTTACATTTATAATATGAGTAAAGATGATATTTGAGGGCGCAATAAACAAATATGATTTAACGAATAAATATCTCAGTGAATATAAGAACGTAAGAGACTATGGTATACTTCAGAACTACTCATATTTTTTGTAAACATTGTGTATTGGCCAAAGAATAGTTATTTTTTTCATCTAAATTAAATTCAAATTTAAATCATTTTTATTTAAATAAACTTGTGTACAAGCATTTTTAAATCGTAATTTTTTATGAATACTGGGTTCGGAAAGTTGTTATATGCTGAGAAGAACCTGCAAGAAGCTTAGCAACCTGCAATAAAATCTATATGTTTCTAGGTTTCAGTTCTATACGTAGATTGATGGCCCACATAATTGGATGTGGTAACCATTGTTAATAGAGGTCTATTAAGGATGATTTTACCATTCAGGTAATTGGTAATAGTCATTATCTATAGACTCAACCTTTCGACTGCTTATAAAATGTTTTTAGTATGTAAATATTTAAAGAGAAGAACGAGGAGTTGCTTGTTTAGTTTACTGTCTAATACCATTCTATTTCCATGTAGATTAATTTCCTGATCACAGAACAAAATCTATTAATAACGAGAAACAAGGGTCGATTTTTTATTCGCTAAAAATTTACGATACTTTTTAACAAATATAAAATAAATAGCAGGCGTGTTGCGGACAGCCGTAACGAAATATAAGTAATATTTTGTTTTTACCTTATTTTTGGACGTGATGTAACTTACAAAAGGGTGACGATGCTATTTCGTCGACTGAGACAAAACGCTCGAGAGTGAAACGAATTTGGTATCTTTTTGACTGATTGCTGGGATTGGTACCTACGACTATTGTTCAATACGTACCCTACATAAATTATTAATGTGTGAAGAACGTGGAATTATTTGTTGTTATGAGGCAGGAGATACGTAGTAGATAGGACAATTTTCCTACTTGTATTATATAATAACATATAATTAAAACACATAAGTTTCTTCAATGTTTATCATAAACAAGACTAGATCATCATCATCATCACATCAACCGTTAACTGTCCACTGCTGAACTTAGGGTTTCCTTTGGAGGATTTTGCGACTAGCTGCCAGGCATGGCAGGCGGATTGGTACCCCACAGTTAGACTTTGTGGATATTTTAAGAGGTACGCTACTGCCCATCCTTTGATTATTAAATTCTCTTAATTCTTTTTTCGACACCCATGAGAAAGGAAGAGGTGACCCATTCTATGCCTGTTTCGCACGCCAAAAGACTATATCATGTTAATTAATTTATGATTTTTATAGGAATTAATTACTAGTATTATAAACCATACTATTTAAAAATTTCTACCTATAAAAAGACAACTTCTATCGAAGTTGTCTTTTTATAAATATCTTATGTACTCGTATTAATAACAGGATATTAATTTTACTAAATATTAACATCTTTTTGACACTTTTATCTACATGTACATATATTACAAAACCAAAGTAGGTAAATGAATATACCTACATTACATTTTTGTTTGTATATTTGATAGATAGTTAATTTAAGTACTTACATAATTAAAGTAAAGGGAAAAAGGGAAGGTAAGGCTATTTCTAAAGGTCTTTTGATCTAATGGGTTCCAGTTTGGCTCATCAATCGGCTGATTGAAACGACATATGTTGGATATGATACCAGTGCGTGATTTCCGTCCCAAATTTATGTTGAAGACCTCCCTAATGTGACGTGTCTAATAGATGCTTTCAGAATTAATGAGATTGATGTGGTTCTCGATAGATCTTTATTTTATCTTATGTAGTTTTTGATTATGAAACGAGAAGCGAAAACAGTTTTTTGAAATGTCCAATATTATAATTAAATATTGTGTCCCACAGAAAAAAAATAACTACATCAATTAAGACATAACTAGTTATTTTGATTTAAAAACTAAACCACTAAACTGATTTTTGTAACTATATATTTTCCGATAAAGAAGGAATTTTCCAAATCAGCTTAGATCTGACGGA